AAGACGTGATCCCACCAGTGGAAGGTAAACTGCTCCCCTTCCTTATGGCCAATCTGATGGAGAGGAGCAACATGTGAGTCTACAAATAATAAAGTGTCATAGATACGGTACCAGAACAGTTATAGCAGTGCACCATTAATCCATTACAAGAGAAAATGCTGCATAAAACCAAATGTCACTCACCCCTCCTTTATCACATTTCACTTTGACCTTGATAGCCTCTGATATGCCATTCTCTGCTCGCCCCAGTCCTTTACCTGAGGACAGAGTGGACTGAGTATGAAACCTGCGCTCGAGTCTGGCAGTGGCTCAACTGTTGCGTGACACACATGTAGTACATAGATATTCTTACCGTGTTCCCAACCATGACGCAGGAGCTGCTGCTCTGCAAACTTCAAACCATGACCTTTCTCTTGTACAACTTCTGCCATCTGTATAAAAGACAGTTTGCAGAATATTAAGACTCGATTCATTTACTAGTGCAAAACACAATATATTCTTTGTTTCTGAAACCCCTCCAAGCATCTAATTTTATTTTTTTCCCCCCTTGTGAATGACTTAATAATTTTGCCTCTTCAAGCAACTAAAGATTTTATACAATAATATCAATATGAGAAGGAAAAACACATCTTTGGGTATCTAGGCACAACTTTCACACATACATAATGCAACCTATGCCTTCGATTTAAGGAGTCTCAGGTTAAAAGGGTTGGGAAATCTTATAGTAGTGAACATTTTGGACAACTTAATAAAATTAGGGCAGGAAAGAACTAAACTATCGAACTTAAAAGAGTCCTTGAACACATCAAAAGACCGTCACACAGTGCTGAATGTCAAACTCCTCTCGGTTACTGTCAGATAAACAAGCAGATTTACATTTTCATGTTGTGTTATAACAAAACCACAACTCCCAACAGTTTTTTAAACAGTGTTTGTTTATCTATTAGTCAATCAATACAATGGTTATTGACATTATTCTGATAATCAATTGATTGTTTAAGTAATTCACCAAACAAAAAGGACAATGATTGGTTTCTTAAATGTGAGGATGTTACATCTAAATATCTTTGAGTTTTGGACTTTTATGATGGGCTTTTTTCACATTTTAGATATTTTATTGACCAAATGATGAATTGATTTATCAATAAAATAACTGACTTTACTGTAATAGAAAATATTTGCCTTTAAGAAACAACTTACCTACTTTTTGTTTTTACTGAATTACTACCAGCTGTTAGATCAACTTTACTTTTATATCCCAGCCATATACCTCTGCAGGCACTAATCTGACAAACTACTGATACATTTTTTATATGATTGATTATTTCAGGTTTTAAACAGGTTATGATTACAGTTCTTCTTCTCTACCTCACAACATAACAACATTGTTTTTACCGCCTTTTGTCAGCTAACGCTTTCCACTCAAACACAAACACATCCGACATTAAGCCCGATTTACCTTTAGACGTCTTGTTTCATTAAAACGACATCATAAACCCAGCAGACGGGATAAAACACTGACTTCAATGTACCACTCGGAGCTAACCATGCGGTTTCTGCAGGAAGCTGACATGACGCCGGAAACACGTCACTGTCGCTACCGCCTTCTTTCTCTTCTTCTCCGTCCAATCAGAGTGCCGGTAGCACAAGTCGTCATAAAAATAATTTTAATAAGTAATCTATTACTTAAATCCGATATTAGAATCCAGTTTGAAGCATTTATATATATATGTAATTTATATAATATTCCTCTCTTGCACTGTAATACATTTACAGTTGGATTATTTAATGTTAAATACAGGGGTGGAAGAAAAAGGCCTTCTCACTATAACATTACTACTAATGTTGCCCTGGAACTAATAACCATACTTTAAGTTTTAGTTCAACCTTTAACAATATATGATTTTAGAAACATGTTATCGGTTTTCTGTGTAAATTATTCATCTGTAGTCACTAAAGCTGAGAGCTAAATGTAGAGGAGTAAACATGTCCCTGTAAAATGGAAATATCCACGTACAAGTAAGTAATAAGTACATCAAAATAATAGTTAAGTGCAGTAATTAAGCTAATTTCTACAACTGGTTGACTTTTAATTGGAGGTGACCTTTTTTTTATAGATAATGGGAAAGTATTCTCACTAAACTGAATCAAATTAAACACAATCACAGAAGAATAAAGAAAAATTCTGGGTACTGCTGGGGATTTATTAATTATTCTCACTTTTTTTAATACAATATGTAGGAGTTTTTAATGACCGTCCCAGTGGTGACTTAGAGGTTGTAGCAGCCATAAAACACCCAGATGTCAGTAGATGGCAGTATTTGACACAAGAAAAATAAAACACATATAAGAATGTCAAGTGATTATTTTAAATGCATGCCTGGTACAAATGTGTGATGCATAATTGGCGCTGCCTCAGGCGGCAGCTTGTAGCCGCAGCTCCTGTCGTGTTTTACTTAACTAACTTACTTGTGTTGTTACCGTGTTTGTGTTGTTACTATCTATCTATCTATCTATCTATCTATCTATCTATCTATCTATCTATCTATCTATCTATCTATCTATTTACATCAATAGTATCATCTTCTACAATACATTCAACAAGCCATATGCTATAAATAGTGTTAATAAGGGGCGTTTTACTGGTTTACACTTGCATGCAGAAGCAGAACTGATCTAATGGCTGGATCACAACATATCTGATGGATGCATTATTCAACAAATGACTTGCAACATTTGCCTTATGAGATTCCAGGTCAAAGGCCAGTTCACTACTTCAGATAATATCACACCTGACTGAAAACAGGTTCAGGCTCTGTGCCTCCCAAACAATGAGACACCATTTTCCTTTAACTGTCTGCAGAAGATCCAATAAAGCCTGTTTCTTTTTCTTTCACAATTGATGCACATTAGACCACAGATCCCCAATTTAAGAGGGTTTTGTCTTCAGGAGCCCCTCAAAGTATTTGTAGGTTTGAAGATAATAAAGTCTTCATTGTCAATCAATGATCAATTTAGAATCACTATAAATTAAAATCAATCAAAAAGGCTATTTCTTCCCTTGTACTTCCAAAAACTGTGATAAAAGTTAAAATATTATATTCCTCCTTTTGCTGGGGACCCCCTAGAACCCACTCAAGGGCCCCTGTTGGCCACTAGACCCCAGTTTGAAAACCACTGGTTTAGCAGGTTCTCCCCAAATCTAATTCACACAATTATATGTTATTACATGATTCTTCTTAACTCTGGATCTGACATTTCAAACCAGCAGCAACTGTCAGGCATATTATAAATATGAAACTAGTAGAGATAAACTCTTGAGTGCAAATGCTAACGGTTTGTTTGCAGAGATTTGAATGTTAGGAATGATGTTTGTTTGGGTGTAATAGAAAGTTCCATCCTGGATTATTTCACTGAATACCTTTTCTGACCTTACAAGGACAACTAAAAGCAACACTAAAATGATACCTCCCCCTCTCCGTGTCTTCAGCATGGGACTGCTGGTCAGCCCCTATGTGGCCTGCAGGAAACAATTTTATTTCCCCCTGCTCTTGGTTTCCGTGCAGTGAGGATGTTTGCTTCACCAGGCCTCCATCCATGAGTTGTTTATCTGTGTCAGCACTCAGTAGGGGGGGAAAAAAACACCCGTCCCAAACAGGCTGGTTATCATTGCTGGCCTACTGTTTGGGAGGAAGCTCTCCAACTGCTGGCTGCAAAGAGTGACTGACAGTTATCTCAGAGGAGGTTTTTACTCAGCTGTCAATAAAGAGTGTGTGTGAGCGAGTAAGAGAGTGTGAGAGACAGACAGGTGTTTTAATAGTTTTTTTTTTTTATGCTTTGGGATAGAGAAAAAGGTGCATCCCCATCCAGGTCCATAAAGATATGTCTTTTTGAATTTTGTGTAGAAGATCTAGACTGGCCTGCACGGACCCCCGACCTCAACCCCATCCAACACCTTTGGAATAGACTGGGACACTGACTGCGAGCCAGGACCAGTTTTGGACCTCACTGATGCTCTGAAAGGCTGAGTGGGATCAAATCACTGCAGCCAGGTTCCAAAATCTGGTGGAAAAAGTGATGAGTGATATAGCAGCAGCAGATTAATGCTGATAGTTTGGGAATGAAATGTATGAAATGTTCAACACAAATCAATTTAAAGCTCAGGTGTCCACTTTCCTCTCCGTACAAAAGCAGAAAAGTAACAATATGTAATGGTTAACAGTTACTGGCTAGACATCAGTGAAATTTGGTGAATATTAATGATACCAGATTATCTTGTTCACCTTTTTTTAAGCCTTTTGCCATCCTCTGGTTAGAATTTGCTCCATTTCAACACCTTGAAGTCCATTCAAGTAATAGTTCGACACTGCGGAAAATAAGCTTATTTGCAATTTCTTGCTGAGAATTGAGAGGATCAAAACCACTCTCATCTGTCCATTTGGCAACAGCGGAGACTCTCGGTAGTCACTACTCCCGGCCAAGAAATAGTCCGGCAAATAATGCTTCAGAGGGGCTGGAAGGCAGATTTTTATTTATTTATTTGCCCTCGGACAGAGCCAGGCTAGCTGTTTCCACTTGTTTTCAGTTTTTGTGCTAAGCTATGCTAACCAGCTGCTGCCTGTAGCTTCATAGTTACTATACAGCATACATAAGTGGTATCAACACTTTCCTTCAGCAATAATGCAAATATGCATAATTCCCCAAAAAGTCAAACTATTTGTTTAAATATGTTGATGTTGTGGCTATGCATCATCTCCATAGACATTAAATAAGCATTATTTTTCCACCTGCAGGAGTCAGACCCAAAGTTCCTCTGTTTCCCATCAGGTATTATCCCACTGGAGCATTTAACACACACACACACACACACACTTATACATCAAGGTCTGTCTGCTGAAGACAAAAACACCACTCTCAATATCCCCCTTGACCTTCCTAAATCTCCTCTTTGCCTCATCCCCCCCCTTTCTGCACCAGTCTCATTACGGTCACAGTTTTTCCAGTTTCTTTGGCTCCACTTCAGGACCCTCCCTCGCGGATGCGACTGGTCTCCTTCTCTCGCTTTACACTCTTCTCAATGTTTATACCGCTTGAAGATTTGTGTGTGAGACCTTGAAACAAACGCTTTTTTTCCTTCCCCTTCTCAGTCTCGTCCTTGGAAAAGTGTAAGTGAGATATTAGAGCGACAAGATAATCCAGGAGTTCTTGGCCGGCAAGGTGAGTGAAATGCTGTCAGTGATTATAAATGAAAACCAAACGGGATTGTCACGGAGAATTGTCGGTGTATTTGAAAAGCCAAAGACAAGTATGATGGTTCATGTTACTGGTTAATAGACGTGACACATAACTTTACATATTAAAATGATGTAGCGTTGTCGCGTATGGTGCTGTATGGGAATGTGCTGTTATGGAAAATAGCGCAACATGTCTACTACAGTCCCCAAAAGATGTTAGAGCATTGCGAAAAAGTCCTGTAATTTCCCTTTAGTGCAACTGTAGCAATCTGCTGTGAGTTTACAGTTACTTTTATGAATGTTGTTTGCTTTGAACTTAATTTGAAATGCGGAGACTACAGATCTTTTAGGGCTATAAGTCATTTTAAAAGATGGTACCTTGCACTTGCTGGATAGTTGTGAACAAGTAAAAGTAAGAAGTACTCGGATCATTTACTCAAGTAAAAGTAGAAATACAACTATGCAGTAATAATAGTCCTGCATTTTAAATTCTTCTTAAAAACATGTGGTGGAAAGTAGCCATGAGTACATTTATGCTTGCAAATGAGTAGTTTTATCTGAACAATGTGTCATATTTTAGAAGACAATCATATGTTTTGTATTTATAATTACTTAACTTAATTTGCAATAGCTGTCAAATAAAAGTTGTGGAGTAGAAGTGTATCTGCTTAAGAAATACTCAAGTAAAGTCAAGTACAAGTACCTCAAAATTTGGTCTAGCACTTAACTAAATATACTCAGTTGTACTTGGTGTGTAGATCACATTTCATTACCATTTTTGGCAGATTTCTCCACACAGTTTAGTTTAGTTGCTATCATTAATGCGCTATGTGAAGGGACCTCCGACTAACACACTATAACAATAAAACCACCTGTCTGTTCATTAAACGACAGCATATAAAGACATAACATTACACTTATCAGTGAGGGAATTAAACCACTTGTTCTAATGAACTCCTGGCATTGTGTCACCACTTCATGCACTTGCTGTACATTTCCTGCCTGACTGACTTTTTCTGGCATCTCTGGCTCTGCTTTGAAAATCTCTCCAGCTTCTATCAAGAGAGAGTGCTTGAGTCGAAAGTTGTGCTCCTCTGGCAGTGTCTCTTCTTTCGATTCATTGTGGAGGAAGTTGCTGGGAGTGGGTCTGCTGTTTCCTCAGTGCTCGCCTCCTCCTCCTGCTCCTCTGCCTCTGTTGTGTTTGGTTTTCATTAAGTGGTTCAGACTTAAAGTTCTGGATCCATCTCTTGGTCTGTGTTCAGGTCACAGTTAAGCCAATGAAACGTGGCAGCGAAGCGGCTGCAGTCCATACAACTGTGTGACATCCTGTGTGCGATGGTGACTAAACTTTCATGTCCTGTCAGTGAAGTTAATCAGGTGAAGCAGAGTGTTTTTTTTTCTGCAGATGCGAGAGGCAGATAGGCTTTCAGGCTTGTTTTGTGCACGTATATGAGGACTATGTTTACAAGACTCTGATATGTAAGTCTCTGCTGATAAAAAGCAATATGATTAAGATGCTTTTAAACTGATGGTTTCCTCATTTTCACTGATTATCTTTTTGAGGCGGTGCAGTTTTTAGGAATGAGTAAAAGATCTGATAGAAGCACCATATTTAAGAAAAAACTACTGCACATAAAAGGAGTGTTCATGGTCGCTTGTTGACAAACTGACTGACACCTTTACGGTCACGATCCCCTGTATATTTAGAGCTATAAAATGATTAACTGCTGTACATCGAGGCGTACTGTTTTGGCAACAAACTCCTCATTTCTTTTCCTCGGTGGGGCTGTAAATTCACCCTGTAAATTCAGCATTTTTGCACTTTTACACTTATTGTCTGTGACTTATGATTGAAGGTTTTTTGATTAAGGAGACTTTGGCACCATTTAAGGCATAAAAAAACAGCTGTGAGGAAGGCAAGATATGATTAACTATCAGAGTAAATCTCAGCCACCTGGTTTGGACCTCACATCTGCTCTGGCAACCAAAAATCGCCAGGAAGTCTCAGACTGAACTTTCCTTTGTTCTTTTCCAAGTATTCCTGAAAGCATTGTGCCATTATTTACATATATTGGTTTCATGAGTTGAATTCTGCATTTGAAAAATAACACAATTGTGCCTCAGTAAAACCATTTTTGTTTTTCTTCTGTGTCCTCATATGAGATCCTCATTAGTGGAAAATAGCATCTCCCCCTTGAAAATGTGTCTGCCCTCCTCCGGACTGTTTCAGCTATCAGGGGTATAATGGTGACCCATTTTTTTTTGTCTGGTCGAGCAAAACAAACCCGTCTCTTGTCTGACAGCTGGAGATCTGGCTGACATACCATCTGTTGTCCAGGAGAGGACTCAAGCTCAGGCCAGCTATTGGATATGTTTTGATTGGAGATGACACAGGCCAGAGACACAAAGAGACGAGGTTGACATAGAAAAAAAAGAGAGAACTGAGGTAAGATGCATTAGTGTTAATTTGATCCCCCAGTGCCTGGACATTTTGAGAATTTATTGTAACACCATAGAGGGTACCCAGAGTGTCTGCATGTTGTCTTTTGAAGGCCACAATTTTTCTTGACAAGTTTAAACCCAGTGGCCACACACCAATCCTGTGTTATTTAAGTGAGGTCTTTGTGTTATCCTTTGAAGCATGGACTGAGGCCTGGCTATGTGGATTGCTCGGCCCAGACTGAAATATCCCAATACATCTATACATCGATTTAATGGCTTGCCATTGCCTGACTTTTCATGTAGCGGCATAGGTCCAGTGAAATATCTCAACATCTACAAGATGATTTGGCACAAAATTTGGTACATTCATGGTTCCCAGAGAATGAATCTTCATGACTTTTGTGAATCCCTGTCTTTTCCTCCTGATACACCATTTGTTTGACATTTGAGGTTTTGAGTGAAATGTCTTAACTTTAGAATGACTTGAGTGTTTGCTGCTGCTGTTTGAAATTTCCCAACTTTATGACCATGGCAATCACAGATACTACAGTGATGGAAATGATACAGGAGCTGATTTTACTGTATCTGAGTCCCATGATATAATCTACGTACATTCACCCGGAGTGAACAAACAGATCAATGAAGCGCAATGGTCTTGGAGCAACATCAGCTTTAATGCTAATGCTATATTAACAATTTTATATTGCCAAGTTTTTCCTCTTTCTCCTCCATTTTAAGCTACAACCCACTCTATTTAGCTGAATAATTAGGTTTAGGTAGGTGGATAGCAGCAGCATGTAGTGTTTGGTGTAAGTGTTTAGTTGGAGGTAGCTGGGAGCTGCAGAGGTGGCTGTTTGCTTTCTTTTAGTTTAGTGACATTTGGTGCTAAATAGTTATTGCTGTAGGGTTTCTGCATTTCCATGTAATTTACTTGTGTGTGGTAATGGGTGGCACATTGGAAAATTGACTTTTATTTACGTGTAAAATGTTGCATAAGGTCACTGGAAATCCTGTTTATTCATCCCACACTTTTCATACATCAGTGACATACAGTACATTTTCCTTATGTAAGTAAAGTAGATATAAAAAATGAGCTTTTTCTACTCCCCGAGCTTCTATTTGTGATGCTAAAATAGTTATAAAAAAAGACAAAGAGCACAGGGAATTTAAAAGAAGGTGACACGGGTTGAATATTCCTACCACAGGCTTATATAAGCCCTTCAACCCCATGTGCTCTGCAGCCGTGCAAGTAATTTGGAGCAGATTCGACTGCAGTCCTCCAGCTCGGGGGTTTTGGGTCGCTCGCTCTGCTCTGGCTGTGGAACATGTACAGTTTCATTGGGCTCTGGCTCAAATAACCAATCATAAAAAGCAGAGGTCGGGGGGTTTGGGGCTGGAACAGAAGGAGGAGCCAGCAGCGGCTTGATGGAGTGACCACAGACTACTTGTACTGTGGTGAGGGTCTTTCCTGAAGTTGCTTATGTTGGTGGTTGGTGGGTGGTGTTTGGGGCGGTGGGTGGAGCAGCAGTGGAGACATTGTTCATTAAGATTTCAGGGGCTTTCACTGGTGTCTATGTCTTGCTGTGGTGTCTATGCAGGAGGACTGGAACCAAGTGAAACCTGAGACGTAGAATTAGAGGAAATACAGCACCAAATTCAAGGCCCAGAGGGCTTCTCGCTTTTTATTTCCATTTCTGCAATGAAAATGGGGTTATGTTTATGTTTTTGTTTGTTTTTTAATGCCTGCCAAAGTGAAATTGGTCGTGCAGATGGAGCGTAAAATGTTTATTTTGTCAGTTATGAGATGAAATATCATGAGTTTACCATACAAGATGTAAAATTTGCATGCGAAAAACAAATGGCCTTTGTGTCATGCTTGGCACCACACAGACCTAAACTGCTAGAACTTCAGATGTTTTTCTTGAGCTGATACCCAGATCCACTCCACCAGCTGTGTTAAGCTATGACTCTTGGAGTCGTCCATCTTGCATTTTATTAGAGAACTTATTTTCTTTTTTTTGTATTCCATTTTCCAGGCCACTTCTGAAAGACAAACCTAGGCTCAGGAAAGGCAGGATGACAGATCATCACCATTTGTCAGTGTCCCCATTACTCAAAACAACGCAAGCTCTGTTTGGAAAAAAAGATTCTTTGTAAAACTGGACACAGAAGCCAAAAAGCTTTTTTGGAAAAAAAAAAAGTGGGAGTAGTAAAGTCAGTATAGGTCTGATGGTGTCGTTGAAGGACTTTTCCTTTAACGTGCCTGATTTTATTCCCAACTCACTTCTGTTTACATGTCAGAGGAAGAGACTGTTGAGATGCAGACCTGGATCTACATGCAAGATGTTTCCTATCGGCTTCCTTTTGTTTGTCCCAGTTTTCATTCCCCTGGTGCTCTGCAAAGATGAGTGAAGACAGAGAGAGCAAGGACCTGCGGGGCTGTGTGGACAGGGTTTTGGTTCTATTGAAAACTGTTCTTCTTTTGCCCTGTAGAAGAAAACTGAAAGAAACCAAAGAGATGAAATTATTAGTTGGAGACAGATGATAATGAACTAGGGAGTTGTAGTCAATTAAAAAGTAATGGGAAAAGCATGTTATCTTCAAAGACGGCGTCAATAAAGTGCTGACAAGATACTCTGTGGTAACTTTTGCTTTTGCAATGTGTTAACAACAAAATTGCTTTCTTGCTCATTAAGTGGTAAATAGTTGAAATCCGTTTGCAGCAGTTAGTGAAAATCTTAGAGAAGCCTCACTATGATAAAAAAAATATTCCTCTATGACTCGCAGAAGACCTGCTGTGTTTCCCGCTGCTTCTGTTTGCCTCTGGGCATCCAGAAAAAGAAAAGTGTTAACAGTTTCCCCTCTACTTGGTTTCCTTGAGTTGGAACATCATGCTCAAACAAGATGACAGGCCCATGGACCCATTTCACTCCCTACTACCATTGACAGTGTTTGCCCTCCCACAGTGTTGCCCAGGATGTCCTGTGTGGTGACTTGTATCTGGCTCTTGTCTGCTCTTCGACCCAGTCTTCCTGTTGTGTTGGACAGACATGCAGGTGTCATACAGAAAAGCTCCTAGAGGCTAATGTGTTGCACAATACAGACAGCCATGCCAGGGTTTTCAATTAACTAGGGCACTTTCTGCAGGGCCTACTTGCATCTGTCTTTAGCCACGAGGCGGACCAACTTAGTGAATTAATGGCACCACCTGTGGGGTTTGAAACTGTTTCAGTCTTGTGACACTGCTGGGAAAAGCATGGAGAAAGAGACTAAGTTAAGGAACATCTCCGAGGGTTCACCTTCAGGGTAGCACACGTGGCTAAAGTTTTTGAGTGAAGAAAATAAGGCTTTAACTTCCAGATGTTTGCAGAATGAGGCCCATCTGGAGAGAGAGAGAGAGAGAGAGAGAGAGAGAGAGAGAGAGAGAGAGAGAAGGAGCTCTGGGGCTATGTGTAAAAACAAAAAAAAAAGCTCTAAAATGATCACTTTAATAAGTTGCAGGTTTCCACCTCGTCCTCCAGAAAGGCAGCACACCATGTGCCAGAGGTAGGCTTTTAAATCAATGGGGTTTAACTTTTAGGAATTTACTGGCCCAGGCTGGACTTCCTGGAAACAGAGATAAAAAAGGAAAACCAATAGAGATAATAACTGATAACTATTCTGGTGAACTCTACCTGCCTCGGTGGTACTCTGCTGCTGTGGCTGCTTGTGTTCTTGTTTTGCCAAGTATATCCTGGTTATCTAAGTACCTCAGTTACAACAGACGCTTGACCACATGGTATTAATTGAGATGCACATCTGTCTCCCAGTGTGCAGCTCCCATTCTCCTTGCACAATGTTTGTACCACCCCGCAGGCAGCAACACTTGAGTCTTTGGTAAATCTACCAGGTGTCACCTTGTTTTTCTTTGGAGAAGAAATCGTGCTATAGGTTAATCTTGAAAACAAATGGCAGAAAAACATCAACAACAACAGAAAAAAAGAAGGCCACGCCAGCTCAAATGGTTCCCAGCTTGCTGTATCGTGGCAGCTGCGAGGAGAGAAAAAAAAGAGCTGCCATCCAGTCACATTCGAAGTGTTGTCTTAATCAAAACCAGATGCAGCATGGTTAAAGTCTGTTACTGTAAATTGCTCTCTCTTTCATACAGCCACGACTTAAAGACTCATATTAAAGCTGTTGCATGGGAACGTTATCCGCAGTATGAAATATGTCGTTCTTAAACCTTGTTTCTCAGTAAAGGATGATGCTTCCTATGATATTATTCAGACACCGCAGACATTCGGTGCAATCTTGTTTGCAGCCATAGACCCCCCAAGAAGCCCATATTTTACCCAACATACATCAACAAAACACTGAATTGCTACAGTTGTTTTTATACAGTAGGTCTTGTTCAATTCAGAATAAGTTTAGAATTGGGTTTTGCAGACTTTGTTGCTCATTCAGCTTCTTTGCTCATGGTAGGTTTTGCCAAAGCAGATGGGGTTTGATTTCACACCTCTCCAACTGGGTTTGGACAGCAGCTCCCCTACCACAAGGGTCAAGACCACAAGAGTAAGCAATCTGCACAGTCTTCAGCCAAAACAAAGGTTATAATGGAAAGAAAAGAAAGCAGTGTGCCTGCATGTGTGTGTTGAGGTACATGGAACAGACAAGGTCTGTGTGTGAACATCTGTGTTTATGTCGATGTTCGATGCAGAGTTTTGTGATGACTTGGCAGGTTTAGCTGCCTGTAGCGGTTCAGCGTTTCCCTTTCGTGGCTGTAGACTGATCGGCTGTTTCCCCTCGTAAGAAACTACAAGTCAAACGAGTGATTGGAGATCTGAACACCAATGATCAACCAGCTTGTGAGAGACAGACTGTAAAGTTTGGCAAAGCTTTGAAACAGGTTCAGATTCTTTTTGCATATGTCACCCCACTTGAAGTACATCCTGATGTGCACAATGCATTCTGACACCCTACAGCAGCAGTGACGCAATATATAATTATAGTGTGACTACACACTAC